CTTGAAAGTAAAATTTGGCTGACAAATGTTGCACCTAAATATGACAAAACGATTTTCAGTTATTACCTCCTCTTGAGAGATAACCAAAACCCTCTAAAGATAGCTTTTGCCCTCATCTTTTGGTCATGGGTTTGACCCAGTATTCTGGGCTGAGACAAATTAGGTGGGGACTTCAGAGCAGGACCAGAAGTCTGCTTCTCTAGATGTGTCACAACATCCTCACCATGTCACCCCCTGCCCTGGGTGGGTCCCTTTCCACTGAGCAAAAATAAAGATTTCCTTCCAGTGACCCACCCCTTTGTCTCGGTTCATTTTCATACCTACAGAAAGGCAGTGAATTTGGATACAGAGACATGTTTAGAAAAATATTCCTCAAGTACACAATCAGCTCTAACTTTGCTTTTCACTCAGAAAACAAAACATATCCACAAAAATCAATGGACTAGAATATCCAAATATTTTTTTCTTTAAAGCTTCTGTTGATGTCTCAGTTATCATGTGTTAGCCCAGTTCTGCAGAGATTCCTGATCCCCTCTTACAGGGACAAAGCAAACAGAGCTGCCACAGACAACAGAAAACATTCAAACCCAGAAATATTTGTTTGGTTAAGGTTCTGCAGAGGATTTGGTTTAACCCAAGTTTAATTAGTACTAAATTTACTTTGTATTATCCCTTAATGTCCAGCTTGAAAAGCAGATTCAGTCAAATAGGGAAAATAATACAAGGAGATATTTTCCAAAACAGTTCCTTAGTAGAAGCTACTTCCATCTAATAAAAATATTAGTCACGATAGTAACAGGGAGACTTTCTAATAAATGGTAATAAATTGTCCAATCTGTTGCTCAGGAAAGTTTTCCTACAAATGCCATGGAAAAAACTGTCTCTTTCCCTTCTCAAGTCCATAAAATTGCTGTTTTCCTCGTCAGCCAGATCCCCATAGACACAATTACAGAGAAACTCTATGAGCAGCTTTGCCGGCCAGCAGTGATGGGGAGAGGCTGGAGGAGGTAAGCTGGATGCCAAGGCAGAACTCCAATCCTCAGCAGTGCTGTTATTTCCTGAACACTCACTTCAGGAAGAGTGCAGAAAAGCTTTAAAAATCATTGAAGTCAAGGTGGCTGCAGCATGCGAGGCTCTGTTCAAACACCTCTGGCAATGCTGTTTGCTGCTTTCCTGTTGCAGTGACTTACTGCTTCCCCCTGATGATGGAGTCCAGACTCTTACCAGACAGGATGAGGAGCTGGAGGATACCTCTGAAGTATCCTGAAGCTGGTAAAAATCCCAGCCTTGCTCACCCTGACTTACAGAACCCTCAGCACACCTTAGGAACAAGAGCTCATGACCTCTGAGTGAGATGTGTGTTTCTTAGCATTTACCTGTTTGGCACATGCTGTACCCAGCATTATTTGCTCTGAGCTGCAATACAAAGGAGATAGATCTATTTACCTTCAGTGTGAAAAGCAGCAACACAGAAGGTATGGCAGCCTGGTCAGGAAGCTGCCTCTCAGGAACAGACCCACGACCTGAGGCTGAGCCCGTGAACGAGGCAGCACCTTGGCAGCCCTCAGTGTCAGGATGGGCTTGGCCACAGCCCAGAACAGGCTCACACCAGCAGGGATTTCCTGCTGACCAGAGCGGTGACCCCAGCTCAGAGCTGTGAACAGAAAGGACTGGGTGCAGAGCCACAGCTCCTCCTCCACCTCCCTGCAGTGAACTGGTTTCACAGGCCCCAGCAGAGAACACCAGCACAGGGGAGCTGGAGTGCCAACTGCCCAGAAACCCTTAATCCCTTTTTTCCTCCCCCCTTTTTTAAATGGCTGCAAACTCTCCCTTTGAGCCCCATCTTAAATTTCTACCTGTCTGCCGAGAATGTTTTATACTAAGGTGCACTTGTGGTTGGTGTTGATTTATCAAACCAACACAGACTCCCCACCAAAACTCATGGTATTTAACACTATAGGGAGCACACAGACATTATGCACTGCACTCTACAGTACTGCATTTTCTAAGAGATTTTCTTCAGGTCTGGTTTTGACTTATTTTTTTTATTGGTACTTTGCTCCTGAAGGTTTATAGTCTGAAAAGGAAGACAGAGCCTACTCTACCTGAAAAGAGCTGCCAAGGTTCCTCATATTAAATGAGAATATAACTAACATTATCATTAATTTGATTGTTACAATCCCACCATATACACATGAAATAATTTTCAAAACAAAAGTCATTCAGGTCCATATTTATTAGAAAGCCTGTGCAGTGTCAATGCTCACGGTGATGCCCGTGAAAGAACACTAATAGAACACAGTCTCCATGTTTCAGATACAAAGATTTTCCCAGTTAACATCAACATCCCAGACCAGCTTATAAAACCCCCACACTGGGGACTGTGCTCCAGCACCACAGAAGGAATGACTCGAGGGTGTTATCGATCTGACACACAAAGACCAATGTTCATTAGAGCTCCTGGGACAGTCCCTCTCACAAGCCCAGTTTGGTCCTCCTCCAGTGTCTCCTTTTGGAGTTGTACCTAAGACAAAAGCAGAGTGAATTAGCAAAATGTACACACACATTTGTTAAACATGAAAGCAGAACAGCACATGGAAAGTCTCTTCCATGAAAGCACACTAATTTGTGAGCATGTACTTGTCCATGTTAAGAACAAATGCTTTCACCACGGTGTGGGTGAAAGCATAGACAGTGTTAACAGAGTTGCTCTCAGCAGGAAAATGGCAGCACTCCCACAGCAGGAAGCGCTGCAATTGCAGCCTGCTTTAACACAAAGCTTGGGCAGAACCCATGGCCCAGCTACTCAAGTGCCAGGAGACTGAAATCCATGATTTGTGCTATGGTCAAGTATTTCAGACCACTGCAATTCAGCTGAAACAGAAGCCAGTTATGATGTGGCACATGGAACACAAGGATCCAGCTGAGTGCAAGAACCACTGATCCCATCTAGAAACAAGGTGGGAGCAGCTACGGGAACAGAACCCAGCAGTGTCGTGCTGGGTCACTGCCTGAGCCAGCCAGTACTGCTGTTGCTCTCCTCACTGCTTAGGACAAAGAGAGAAAAACAAGAAGGAGTTCTGTTGCCTTAAAAAGCCCAGATAAAGGAGTGTATGAGATAAAAAACTATGCTGCAGTTTTCAACCAAAGGGCCTGGACAGGCACCACTCTGTGCATGCCCCATGTACACCCATTGTGTCACAGCACTCAGCATTTCCCTAAGCACAATGCTCGAGAAACACAACAGGAAAGCAAGGAACTATGCCAAATTAATTCTACAGTCAGGTGCCAAGCATCTCATACTATCAATCTGACTTCCCATACATCCAAGTCCTTTGCTTCCTTTGCTCCCTGAACCTCAGAGCATCCATGCTCAGGAACCATTCCTTGAAAATGCAGGAGCCCAAAGGGACAGCTAAGAGAGAGGACAGGCATTGGGAAGGGGAACGTCAGGAACAGAGAGGCCACCAGAGAACAAAATCTGGAATAAATCATCCACACTTACAGTTCAGTTTTTCACTTTACATGTACCACTGCTAAACGTTGTGGACACTTGCAGAGCACTGATGCAAAACCACTACAGAAAAAAATGGCATGGAAGCCTCACTGTCCTACCATCCCCGCACGGCCCTGACGGGCACAAGACTGCGCTGCGGCTGGCACAAGCGCCACCAGCTCCCGCCTTCGGCCCGTACCGCCCAGGCCGCCGGCCTAGGCCTGCGCGGCCGCAGCTCCTCAGAACGCACCGGCCGAGCTCGCTACCTGATCTTATTGCCGGTTTTCATGCGAATCCACTGCGGGATGGGCCGGTTCTGCTTCTGCTTCTTGGCGAGGAAGCGTTTGATCTTGAACGTCTTGTGCGACGACTGCAAGAGAGCGCAGCGGTCAGTGCCTCCCCCAGCCCCGGCACAGCCGCGGCCCCACCGGGCCTCGGCCAGCCGGGAATGCCGCACCCGGCTCCCTCCCGCTCCCTCGGGCCGCTCCGCCCCGCCGCCCGCCCGTCAGGACCCCCAAGCGCAGCGGCCTCGGGGACAGGGCTCGGGGCGCGGCGGGAGGGCGCGGATGGCTGCGGATGTCTCACCATGGCGCGGAGCGGCGCGGCGTCCCGGCGATGGCGGCGTCCGAGGAGGCGGAAAGGGGGCGGAGCGGCGATGGCGGAGGGGGCGCAGCGCCCCCTGCCGGCCCGGCGGCCTCGCACGCAGTGAGGAACGGCGGCGGCCGAGCGGGTTTGTGCGAGTTTATTTGGGTTTAGTACAAAAAACAGCTATGGCTAAAATTCGCTAGCTTGAGAGGACCTGCTACTGGCGAAGTCTCGTTCTGGGCTGTAAAGCAATACTTCAAGTTATGAGGGAAGAGGAAGCAGTTCCGAGAGGGCAGGAGGTCAGAAACATTTCAGACTTGAGTGAAGGGAAGATGCTGGAAAAGAACAGGATGCCCAAACCAGCTACATTTGATTAAAAATAAGCATTTCAATGTAGGGAGACTTTACATGAGAATTTATCCAGTCATATTCAACTATTAAGCCAGCTTATTCATACACTCCAACTTAAGTTACTTTATCCAGAGAACCACTGAAGAGGACGGTCTCTCCCTCCCTAACATGGTCACTGCACTGCCAGATGTTCTGCTCCTTGTGTGCCAAAAGGCTCCTATCCACTGGCACCTCAACAGCCCCAGCCTGTGTATGTGGCTCAGTGCTAGACTGACACACTTCAGCTTTCACTGCCTCACGCAGGAGCACCACACAACACAGCAACACCTGTGTTAACTCCAGGCAACTCCAAGCTTGCTCTGCTTAAGTGCATCCAACACTGGCTCTAATTGCCTTAGAGTAGAGCTCTGGCTTTTGATCCAGGTGTCATTCCCTCCTGACCACAACTGATTTATTATCAAACTTAAGGCCATAAAGTCTTTCTATTTTGCAAAGATTCTCTTCTCTGCTGTAGTCAGATGCTGGGAAAATAAGTTCAAATAACTGAAAATATTACAATGAGAACACATTTCAAATTTGGAATCTACAACTGAGGTTCTTTAACCAGAAACATCCAACAGCACAATGCCCCCTTTTCTTCCTTTGTTCCTTTTTTGCTCCGAAGGCACTTCTGGATTGCGCAGTACATGCTCTTTGGCTGCACAGAGAGTCAGAACACATAAGGCTGGCACATCAGTCACTCCTCTTCCTTTGTGTGACTGGTCTCACCCTCTTGTTTCTTATCCACTCCCTGATCTGGGGGCTTTGCAGCACTGTCTTCATACTGACACAATCTGCTCCGGCTTCGGGCTCCAGGCTGGTACAGCTGCATTGCTGGGCGATCCTGAAATAAATCAAAACTATTTAGATTCTTTCATAACTCCCTTCTCTCAGGGTTATTATGGCATCATTTCTATGGTATTAGAAATGGCTCAAATTCAAACTTTTCAGGCTAAGTTTAATTATTCCACAGCGGTGGCAAAGTAACTTCAATTGTCCCAAATCAAGGCTGTCTCTGTTGTAAAGCAACATCGCTGTTCAAACCACAATGAACACTGCTCACAGTTGAGGTTATTTGTAATGAGTTTCCTGTTGAGTTCAGCTCATATCCTCTCAGAAGAGAGGCCAACTTCAAAGTTTCAAAACCTTGAGTTTCATTTGTACCTGACAATGTCTTAAGTGACACATAAAATAGGCACACAGATACTGCAAAAACATATTTTGTAGAATACATAAAATTACACTCAAGACATTATTTCTTGAGCCTAGAGCACATGTCATATTCTGCAAGTTGCAGTTTTCTATTTTAAGGAACCTGTTCAATCACACTCCCACACTGAGATGCATTTTCAGGCATCATAAGATCAGCAGACACAAACAGATTACTGATACTCTACCAACACCTTAAAGAGACAGCCTATGGCACAAGTCAGCAAATAAAAAGGATCAGTGTCTTACAATTTAACCCGTGTTTTCTTGGATTAGTTCTTATATAGTGACAAGAAATACCACTGTTAAGCAAATTTTAGTGGAAATTTCTAGCAATGGCAGAGTTTGTTGCACAACAGGGAGAAGTTTCAACAAAGAAACCACATGGTTCTTTCCTTGAAGTGCTTTTATCCTAAAAACCACAGATCCCTGTGAATCAACACATGAATTTAAAGAAATCCAGCACCTTGTTTCTGATACGATCCCTCTTAATTGTATCCTCTTTTTTATCGTCTTTGGTTACTTTCTCAGCTTTGTCCATGCTGCTGGTAAAGTCTGTAAGATCACTTTTCTTTCCCTTTTCTCTGAGTAAGTCTCTCTCCTTTTTCACCTCTTCCTCTTTTCTTCTAAAAACCTTCTCTTTCTCATAGCGCTCTTTCTGCCTCCGACGCTCCTCTTCTTGGCGTCTCAGCTTCTCTCTCTGTGCTCTCTCATATTCTCTGTCTCTGTCAAAATCTCTATCTCGGTCCCTGTAGTCCTTTACACACTCATCTTCTGATCTGTATGAAAACAAAACTGAAAATTAAGCTCAAAAGATTCATCAAACAGAGCTGGGAGATCAATGTAATAGTGGTGTAAATGTGCAACAGGAAGATGACACCCTGGCAGGTACTAGGGAGCTCTTGGGAGGCTGTGACAGCCCAAGTCATGCATGGTAGCCAGAGAGGACACTGACCACTAGAGTTTCCCAGCCTCCTACTTGCATAGCTGGCTGAGTCTCTTCTGGCTTTGAAAAAAACACATCTGAATTTGTCTGTCTTATCTGTATTTCTCACATGGCAGAACTGAACCTCAAACAGATCACGGAGCTGTTGAGAATTACATTTTCCACTTTGACTTTTTACAAGACTTAGAGGGACTGGTAACTGGAGAACACATCTCCTCTTGCCATGGTTATAATAACTGCAAGGACAGTGCTAAAAACCTGCTGCATTCACCTAGATATGGGCTTCCTTAGTGAAGGAAGGAATGAGTTGTAAATTCCTATAATGAGTTGTAAAAATATTAAAATCTGTCCACTAATGAAGAATTTCCAGGTAATTCACAGAGCTTTCTGTAATCATGGGGATGTGCATTGGCACAGAGAACACAGCTCATGCCTTATACGAGAAAAAGCATTTGAAAGGAATTTCAAAACATGGTCATGGCAGAGCAGCCTAAGCCTCAGTACAATCAGGAAACAAGTTATAGATACATATATATTTATAGCAAGTACTAGAATACTTTTTTGCCTTCTCTTCTTTTGTCTCCCCATCAGATCGTTTGGCAGATGCACTACTCGCATTTTTTTCCTCCCTCAGAGTCTCTCTTTCCAGTTTCTTGGATTTTTCTTTTCTCTCCAAGTCTTTTTCATCTTTTTCAGGCTTCTTAAGTAGCTACAAAGAAAACAGAAGTCTCAACTAAAAAGCTCACTCTAACACATATTGTCTGGCACAACACCGAAATTGCATCAAAGGAACCACAGTCCAGAAAGAAGTAAACATTAAAGAAATATTACTGCAAATCACAGTATTTCTAAAAGCTGGAGTGTATGAGTAAGCATAATTCACACAGCAGACTAGGATTTTTCTCCTAAACCAGGCTGTTTTAGAAAGCTTAAAAATAGTCTCCATTCCATAGTGAATTCACAATCCTGTTTACCACAGCATGTACAACAGTCACATGACAAAAACTTTAAATATTACTATGAAACATTACAGCATGTAAACCTTTACAATGCCTACTACTGAATATTACAAAAAAAATTGGTCATTTACTAACACCAAACTCATATGATTCTTTACACAATACCCAAAGTACATTTTGAGACTGATATACAAATAATAGGGGAAAGGGAGTGTAACAGTTTATAATAAAGAACTGTTCTAGACCTTAATCTTTGGTTCTTCTTTTGATCTGTCTCTTTCTTTTTCTGGGCATCTGTCTACTTTCTTCAATTTTTCTGCTTCTTTTCTCTTCCTTCTCTCCTCTTCTTTCCATTTTCTTCTTTCTTCTTCTCTTTGTCTTTTTCTTTCTAATTCTCTCCTCCTTCTCTCCTCTCTTTTTTCTTCTCTCAGTCTCTGTGTATGCAAAAACAAAGAGAAAGTGTCTCTCCACACCAGAAAACATCTCTTTAAGCCATCAAACAACTCACCTCAAAGCTACCTCTATTATAAAAGGAAAAAAAAAAAGTCCTGTCATCTCTGTTGTTGTTGTGAACCTGAACAGCAGTTGTGAACCTGTTGCAGCAGTATTTTTTTTACTCATAAGCCTTAATTTGTACTGTCTTTAAAATTGTACTGTCTTTAAAAACTCAAATACATCACTGGCCTCAGCCTTTATCATTCAAATTTTAATTAAATCTGCCCCACCTCTGATTTTCTCTATTGCATTAAGTTAAAATAACATTATGTGCTAGGAGAAAGATCATCTACAAGGACCTCAGCCATACTGCTCTAAAAATGGAAGCACTAAAATGGAATCTGTTTTGTCAGTGCAAAAAGAGGCACTTTGCTGTGATCAGAACGTACACAAAGCACCACCATTCCAACACTCTACTCCTTTAAAATATATGAACCAGAAGCTGACAGTTTGGGTCAAAAGCTCCTTCTTCCAAAGGAAGGGCAGAATTGTATCAATGTACAATGAGCAAATTGTACTTGCAAACAACAAGAAAATTCTGGAGGTAAGTCTTACCTGTTTGTTTTTCAAGAAGTTCAATAAAGGAGTAGTCTTTTTAGCTGGAGAATAGATGAAACAAATGTAAGTATCTTGACTTATCCAACAGTGCAATACCTACAACAGAGCTCTATATGAAGTGAAGCAGCTTTACACATTCCCCTGCCTGTCATACAGCAACACAGCAGTGAAACAAATATTCCAAACCTATCTCCAAACAATGGCAACTATTAGCATTCTATAAACTTCTTTAGGATACTAATAGGATATCCATTACACCTATCTCTACATTCAGTCTGCATTAGGTTTTTTCCAGACACTCTCATTTTTAAAGAGATCCCTGTAAGATATTTAAAAAGAGCAACCTGGTCATTTTTTGGTAGTATTTCACCCAACTACACTACCTCTAAACTTGTGCCTGCATGGAACATCGCTGATCACAGCACTGTGCATTAAACACCACTGCATCTCACTGAAATGCAGCCACTCCACAGTCTGGTCTGGCTAACAAACATCTGCAACAGGAAGGAACCTTGTCAACTAAAACCTATACCTACAGAATAATTTAGAGCATGGGAACAAAACAAAACACACAATAATATTAGCCTAAATGTTAAACAAATAGTAAGCAGGCACACAAAAGGATTGAATCTCCTCCAGGCTGAGCTTCAAATTACAAAACATATTTGTTTCTTTGTGATCTAGGAAAATATAACTATAGTACAGATTTCCATACCTATTAGCTCTTTGTTTCTTGCCTCTATTTCCTCCAACAAAGTTTCAGGAGTGGAGGTTAATTTTTCATCATCTGCACTGTAACTTTCCAAAAACTTCTTGTATTCCGGATCTACACAGAAGAGAAGGGAAAAAGGGGGGGGGGGGGGAGGGGGGGGGGGAGGAAAGAAGAGATACTGTAGCATGAGAAGTATTTGCATCATGCACTGCTCAGTTACATTTACTTAAGCTGAGTTGTTTATATGCCACCTTTTCATAAGTTAGCAGCTCTCAAATGAGCTGCTTTATTATGTTTGTCTGGGACAATCATATTTAATAGATTCCTAGCTGACAAAGCAGTGCTCATAAACTCCACATATAATTAAGCAAACATCCTAGTGGTGGAACTACAGTGTCACACTAAAAACATTACATTTAAATTACTGCTAAGAGTTTCAAGTCTACACATGCAAAAACAAACTAGCTCTCTGCTATACCATCTTCAATAGTTCCAGTTTTGGCATCCTTTTTCTTACTCTTCTTTTTTGCAGCTTTTTGGAAAGGTGCAAACTCAACTATGGCAGCATATTCCTGACCTGTTGAGAGAAAAAAAATACATTAAAATAAAGATGAAACAGATATAAAATAGATTATATTTCCCATAGCTAAAGCAGAAAGGTAAGTCACACAAGAAATATACAACACTAGAAGAGACTACTTAGCATAAAAAAATAATTGTATTTGGAAAATCATTTAATAAAAAACCAAATCACTCTACAGACAGCAAAATTCATGACCTTAACACTCTCACAATACTAACAAACCAGCAAATTCACAGGCTGACAAGAAGGACATACTAGATTTAAGACTGCCCATGACTGTCAGTTCTGCCACCTCAGTGGCACCTCACCACGTAAGGGCCTCATCCTACAGATTCTGTGTTCATTGTGCAAGAAAGAATATTTTAAGTTAATGCAACTGAGGCAAATCTCAACTTCTGACAAAACATAGTAGAATGCAATGCATGACAAGCAGGCTTTAAAGCTTTATCTTATGACAAGAACACCACATTTATAGCTGCACAAATCCAGCGGGGTATGGCAAACACAGAGTGCTGTTACACTGCAAGCTAGCTCATTTAAAGGACTTAGATGTTATTCGATCTATATATGTATGTATTTCTAGAGGTATTGGAACAGTTTTTGAGGCACTAAACCCAAACAAGTCAGACGTGGCTGCTCACATCTACCCCTCCAAAACTCAGCCAGCACACAGCACAGACAGCAGGGAAGCAGCAACATCCATCGAGTGCTGCTCACTGACCTTTGTGATCGACAAAAACGTAGCCGTCGAAGCGATCCCTGAAGAGGACTATGTCTTCCTGGTTCTTGAAGTTGATGTAGGCTCTCGAGAACATGTGCGGGTACAAGCTGCAGAGACACAAACCGAGAGCGCTGGGCTGACGAGGCGGCGGCGCCACTGGGGCCCGGCTGGCGGTAGCGGCGGCTCCCGGGAACGCCCGGACTGGGCAGGCGGCCGTACCTGGAGTCGTTCGCGAAGAACTCGAAGTAGTCGTGTTCGGGCAGAGGCTGCAGGTGCTCCTCCAGCTGCTCCTTCGTCAGGCTGGGCGGCAGCCGGCGGATCACCACCTGCGGCACGGCAGGAGCGGCGCTCAGCGCGGCGGCAGCGCCGGGGACCAGTCATTACCGCGCCGCCCCCGACACGTCCCGTCCCGTCCCAGCAGGCCCCGCAAGCGGCACGTTAGCGGGGAAGGTCCCGTTACAGAGGGAAGCCCTGTTACCGGAGGGAGGAGGGGCCCGTTACAGAGGGAGAGCCCCGTTACCGGGGACGGCGGCGCGCAGGCCCCACCTTGCTGAGCGTCTCCTTCTTGTCCTTGGGCCGCTCCAGGCGATCGAGCTCGGCGGCGCCGGCTCTGCCGTCCGTGCCGGCGGCGGGGCCCGAGCCTGGTCCCGCGGCCATCAGAACGCCCGGCCCGGCGGAGGCCCCGCGCCGCTCCTTGGGCCTAGCGTTCTCCTTGTCCTCCTTCATCCCGATCCCGATCCTGACTCCGGGCCCGGGCTGCGCCGCGCGCACCCAACGACCGCCGCCTCTCGCGAGACTGTGCCTTAAAGGAGCCGCTGCCTCCGCCGGACTACCACTCCCAGCGTGCACCGCGCCCGCAACGGCTGATCCCGGTGGGATCAGCGACCGGGACCGACAGCGGTATCAGGCGAACTGGTGACAGCGGTATCGGGCGAACACGGACACGGACACGGACACGGACACGGTCACGGCCTCATTTCTTGCCAGGGACTGTTCCCCGGCGGCGCTGTCGCTCCCGCTGCCCGCTCGGGCCCGCTAGGCTGTGAGGGGGCGCGGGGCAGGCCGGGAAGGGCGCGGGGCAGGCCGGGAGTGCCCCGGCACTCGGCCCAGGGGCAGCGGCACCGACACCGACAGTGACACCGACAGCGGCGGGATGTGGTACGAGATCCTGCCCGGCATGGCCATCATGGGCGTCTGCCTCAGCATCCCCGGCATGGCCACCGTCTTCATGCACCGCTTGTGTCACGGCGGCAAGGTCAGCGCGGGGCGGGGCGGCGGGTCCCGGCATCCGGACCCTGAGGCTCCGCTTCCCCACCGGAGCCGCCCTGATCCCCCAGTCCCCTGCATCCCTCTGGGATCCCTTCCTCCCGGGGCTCTCCTTACCCCGCCTTCCCTCGGGAGCCCCTGCCCGAGGCCTTAACAGGCAGTTCTGTGCCTGCAGGAGAAGAGGATCGCCCGCTATCCCTACGAGTGGACCCTGTTGGAAAGGGACCGGCGGCTGTCGGGTGTCAACAAGCACTACGTGTCCAAGGCAGGTTTTGGGGGCGCTGGGCAGGTTCCGCCGGGGGGAGGAGGGACTCAGGGGCTGCTCCCCCATCCCCGAGCTCTGGCGTGGCCGCTGAGGTGGGCACTGGTTGCTCTTGTCAGATCTGACTCGATCTGCCTGCAGCTGCCGCTGGGGATGTGCATTTTAATTTTGTTCTAATTAAGACCTGGGTAATTAAATGTAGTTTGAAAATCTGCACTTTCAGATATGCTGTGTTGCGCAAGATGGCAAGATTAATGGCAAGAATGACACAAATATAGCTGTTATTTTTTCTTTTTCAGGGCCTGGAGAACATAAACTAAGGTGGCAACGCTTTGAAAAATTCATGTATCAATAGAAAGTGATTTAAATAAAGCTATACATGTGTTCAGCCCTTGTATTTGTGTTGCTGTGGTGGGGTGACCCTTGCTGGACACCAGGTGCCCACCAAAGCTACTCTGTCATTCCTGTCCTCAGCTGGACAGGGGAGAGAAAATACATTGAAAGGCTCGTGAGTTGGGACAAGGAAAGGGAGAGCTCATTCATCAGTTACTGTCATAGGCAAGTGAGACTCGACTTGGAGAAATTCATTTAATGTATTGTCAGATAACAGCAGGGTAATGAGAAGTTAAATAATAAAACACCTTCCCCCCACTCCTCCCTTCTTCCTGGGTTCAACTTCACTCATGATATTTTCTCCCTCCTCCCTGCTGAGCTGCACAGGGTGATGGGGACTGGGGGTTGTGGTCAATGTCGTCCCATGTCTCTGTTGTTCCCTCCTCATCTGGGGAGAACTCACACTCTTCCCCTGCTCCAGCATGGGGTCTCTCCCATGGGAGACTCCTTCACTAACTTCTCCAGTGTGAGTGCTTCCCATGGGCTGCAGTTCTTCATGAACTGCTCCAGCATGGGTCCCACACAGTTCCTGAAGGTGCAGTCCTTCAGGAACCAGCTGCTCCAGCAGGGTGACATTTCCTGCCAGCAAACCTGCTCCAGTGGGCTCCTCTCCATGGGCACAAGGGCCCTGCCACAGCCTGCTCCAGCATGAGCTTCCCAGGGTGTCACAGCCTGGGTACATCCACCTGCTCCAGCACGGCTCGTTCCTGGGTGCAGGCGGATCTCTGCTCCCTCATGGACCTGCAGGGACACAGCTCACCGTGGCCTTGCAACTCGGGCTGCAGGGTGATCCCTGCTCCTGCCCCCTGCCCCACGGGCTCTTGTCATGCTGGAAGAGGAGCTGCTGGGAATTCAGTACCCAGTGATCTGCTAAAACATTTCTGGCCTCTCCGTACAGTCCCGTGTTCCTTTCCCTCCGGAGGTCTGTGCGCTGCCAGCGCTGCTGTGCGGAGCCTGCAGCACCTCAGCGCACCGGGCTGGGCAGAGCCTCCGGCAGGGCACGGGCTGGAGGCTGCTGTAGCTCCCGAATTGTCCGGAATGGCAAAAATGCGATAAGCAGAGAATCTGCCTGGATCCCAGAGCTGTTTTCTTGCTCACACCGCCCTCCCTCCCCGGGAGACGGCGGCTGCAGGGCGGTTTCCGCGGGGCAGGGCAGCGCAGGCCGGGCCTCGCCATGGTGACGGCGCGGCTCGTGCCCGCGGGCCCCGCGCAGCGGCGGGGACAGCGCCGGGCCCGGGCACAGCTCCCCGGGCTCCCGCACACCCACCGCGGGACCGGAGCGCCCCGGCGGGCCCCGCCGCGCCTGGGGACCCCCGGCCTGGCCGGGGCAGCGGGGGAGAAGCAGCCGCCGGCCCGGGAGCGCCAAACGGGGTGAGCAGGGCCGGGTACGAACCAGGGGCCGTGAGGGACTGCCCGCTGCCGCCCATGTTCCTCTGACGGGGCCTGCGGCTCTCACACAGTGCCCGCTCAATGTTTGTGCCTTTATCTGTCTAAAGGTGAAGCCAATGGAGGAGGAAAAGGAAGAAGCTGTCAGTGAGGAACAAGATCACATCCCCCTGGAAGATGAGAGAAGCAGTACAGAGGAATGTCTTCCAGAGGCCAAGGAAAATGAGAAAGGTATTGTGTTTGCTCTACTAGAATGTGTTGGAGTCTTTTCAGGAGGATTTGCCAGCATTTTATCTGTTTCAGAAAGCAAGCATGTAATCAAAAATATCCTGTGGACTGCAGCCAAGAACTTCACAGTGGAGAAAGGACAGCAGCAAATTGAAGAACTAATTTCTGTGAGTCACAATTCCATCTACTCGGGAAGGCCACACTTTCTCATTGTTAAGAAGTATGAAAAATTAAAGGAGAGCACCTCTGTTCCTTTTTACACCACACTCAAGTCAGCTCTACTAGGCATAGGGAGTCTTAGTGTGATGTGTTTGTTCAACAGACATGGGACATTCATGAAAGCTGGCTTCACCACTCAGAATTTCTTGAGGAAGAAGAACTGAAGGACAGCAAGAGGTACCATTACAGAGCTTGCTGGGGCCTCCCAACACGCAGAAAACCCATCCCACGAGCAACAGCGAGTGTCTACTTCGTTATAGTGATCTCCAAATTCAAACCTGATGTAAGTACTCAGAAATGGTGTGGATGGACTAGTCCTTTAAGGGACAAGAGTACAGTGGCATTCCTGAGGACAGTGGAGAGGCTGGCGAGGAGCCAGCAGCTCTTGTGAAGGTGCTGACAAGGCCTGGACATGGCCAGAGCAATGGCAGGAGATTTAGATGTGGCCTAATAGAAACATGCCCTTGGCTGGCAAGGGGGGCAAGGGGAGCAAGGCACAGAGCAGGAGGCTGGGTTAGTTCCCAAATCACTGACTGACAGAACTTGCCAAACAGAATCTGGCAGGATACTACATCTGCCTTCCTGCTCTTACCATCTTCCCTTTCCAAGCAACAATTGTTCTGGGCAGCTGTAAGAAGGGCTGAGTAGAGGCAGTTACAGAATGAGGGGTCAATAGAGAGGGAGTGCCACTTCACTCTTCAAGCTGTCTCAGAATCCCTTTCCTCATCAGCCTGAAGTTTGCACCTACAATGAACTCTTGCAACTCAAGGGAAAAAAATGAAATAAATTGCACTGAGTAGACTTCTTACCTCCAGGCTTAAGTCATACTGAACTTTAGTGTTTCTACTTAACAGCTATGGATTCCCCAATTAATATTCTGTGGTTTAACCCCAGCTGGCAACTTAGCATCACAGAGCTGCTTGCTCACTCCTTCCCCACTGCCATGGGATGGGGGAGAGAATTGAAAGTGTAAAAAAAGTGTAATAATATTAAAAAATAAATAGAATAATAGTAACAAACTGGGGAAAATAAAAACAAACTGAGGAAAAAGCCTTATGAAAGACAAGTGGTGCAAATGAAAACAATTACTCACCACTTGCCAACCAATGTCCAGCCAGTCCCTGAGCAGCATCTTCCCTTCTGCCCCAACCAAATATCCAGGTTATTTTTAAAGTAAACAGTAGCTCTCACTCAATTACAATGTCTGCTTTTTGAGGGGCTGTACATGGCCTCTGCCCTGTCTCTGCTGTGTTGCAGACTGCACCTGTGGAGGTCTTCTACAGACTGGAGTCCAGCAGGCTGATTCGGAGGTAAATGTTATTACTCTTCTGTTTTAGCAAGCTTTTCCATTCCAAAACCAAACAGGGAGCTCCATGTAAATAAGTTTGCAATAGTAGCAGAGGAATGGAAGCTGTCAAAGTCTTGCTCTGTGAAATGACCCTGCTTATCACTAGCTTCACCCGCAGAGGCATGAATAGCCACCCTGTGGGCATCTGCATTCTCAGAAATTTGTCCTGCTTTACATGGTCTTTATTGCAGCAGATAGCCTTAGGTGCTGAATAAAGGCCAGATCTCACCTGGCCAAACTTGGATTCAGTATTATGCTTACAATCTACCTTCTTTTTATTCCATTCTCCAGGCCAGAACAGTGTGAGTTTAGAGAAAAGTGGCTTCAGGACATAATTGAAAATAAAACAATGTGTGCAGAAAGACTTGCTTCCCGATGAGCAGCTCAAATTCACCAGTACCAGTCCTCTGTTGTGGAGAACCAAATAAACACAATGAAAAAAAACCCTCTTCCTTAGCAGCATTTCTACTTTGTGGATAGATAAAAAGCATTGAACCTGTGCAAAATTAGCTATGCTCTGCCATGGCAGCTGTCTGTGTGTGACAGTCCCTGGCAGGTATGGGTGGGGACAGCAGGATGGAACCAGGCTCCAGAGTGTAAATGGGAAGAAGTAGCTGGGCAGGATTTGCTGTTTGTGAATGCCAGGTCTGTGAAACTCCAGGGAAAACATTACAGGACTTTAGGACTTTTATTTTCTTTATACAAATATACAAGACATCTCTGCTGCTAGACTTAGAGGAACAAAAAAAAAAAAATTAGAACAAAAAAGAAACAACCAACCTCTCCAAACCATTTTGTTTTGAAAAACGTTTGAGAAAAAGAAGTTCCAGGAGATATGTTTGGAAATATGCAGTTGAATCAAAGATAACCACCACATAAGCACTGCCTGAGCAAAGCCTCTAAGCACGAGTTTAAAACAAGCCATGTAATACTGCTGAAACAGACCAAAGTAAAATACTACAGGAGTTAAAACAAGGGTTTAATCTAGAACACTTCCACAAACAAAAACATTTTAAATAAATTGAAAGATACATCCTTCTTACCACCTGTGTACATCCAGGGGTTCCAATCACTGCACCCCATTGCACTGATGCCTATGTATAACATAGGAGAAAAGAAGCAAGCAACTTGGTTCTTCACCATGTGTTTCAGTGATTGAAGATCAGACCCTCCTGTTACTGTTACTTTACACCTCAGTTGCTATCTGCTTGCTATAAAGTAACTGAAGTTCATCTGTATTAAATTACAAACTAATTTACAAAATATGTACATGTCTGGGTTGAATCACAAACCAAACTCAACTGTTTGGAGGAAAAACCTAAATTTAAAAGGACTTGTGAAAAAATAGTGAACTGTCCTGGATCTTAAAACAGGAACTCGGGAGTTCTTTCATTTTTGCTACTGGTGCTAGTAGCTTGTTAAAGGTCTTTCCCAAGCTAAATGATCCTATGATTAATAAAAATAAATGGAATTTAAAAAATCACACTGCTTGGCATTAGGTAACAAAACCTTCCCATGGGATCCTTTGGCTTGTTGGATTCAAAGTGAGTGCAGAACATTGACACCTCTAATCTTCCCCGCCTGTTCTTGCCTTGCAGCCTTTCTATTTACAGGGATTCCTTGTAGATGCTAAACGAATCATCCAAGAAAACCTGATGAAAATAACTGTGTTTCCCTGGCACAAATAATCCACTCCTGAGGCTTGGCCCTGTTGGGTGAAAGGGCTGCAGCACCTGCAGCTTTCTTCAAATCACAACTGGACTGCACTAGCTGCCACGCAGTGCAAGCTATGGTGTACAGCTCAAATGAAGCATTATTTTTCCTCTTTGCCTTTAGTCTTTCTGTAGACCATCTCTCGAAAGCTCGCAAGGATCTTATTCTCTCGCTTCCTCCTCTCCTCCTGGTTGAAGGATGCCAGAGCTCTCTTTTCATCGGCGCTGTAGATCTGGTTCTCTTTCCGCAGACGCACAGCTTCCATGCGCCGATGTCTGTGGGGGGAACATGGGGTACATCAGCATGGGCACGGGGTGTCAGTGCCCTGGCACGGCTTGCAGCCATCAACTGCCCTGAATGTGTTCAGGGGCTTTAAATAAAGATACTGAAGTATTAAGGCCTGAACAACAGGCTCTGAGCCAAAGCTGACCTCGACATGAACCTTCCAACAAATTGTTATATTTGTATCCACTCATTAAGGTAATATCCATGATCATTAGTGAAACATGTAGTGTGATAAGAACATACTTATCTTTCTGCATTTAGAAGCCAGACAAAATCATGAAATCAGACATCTGACCTTGTTTGGAGGTATATAATCAAAGCCACCTCCCTTGGTTCCTCTCCTTGAGCTCTGGCCAGGCTTTGGGTGGAACCCAAGAGGAGGATGAAACCAGCTGTTCCTGCACTAGAAGTTGTCTAAGCTTGTTTATTCTACAGTCTAAAAGCTGGGCCCTCTCACAGTGAAGATGGAGGCCTTGCCTACAGGTGGACACACCAGGTAGGAATTCCCAGGAATGGTTCTCCAATCCTTTGCTGTGACTGGGGCTCCCCAGCTCATGTGCAGATCTGGATGATGGTAAAGTATTAGGTTAACTGGTGATGTATCTTTCTTAATCACTCCAGGCAATCTTTTGCAGTAATGATTAGGTACATTACTTAGCTTATCCTTTGTAATTCTTTGCAGTTTTGCACTGTAGCAAATTATACTTAGTCCTTAAAGTTGTTATCTGAATCTTTTGTGCTGGCCCTGCCAACTGGCAAAACAGATATCTAAACTAGTTAATCCAAACTGCACACTAACCTTCCCAGGAAGGAGTGTGGCAGAGCAAGGAACTGATTTCTGGGGATGTCTGTTCTCAGGCAGTCAACCAGAAGCCTCCCCTACCCCCAGGGTGTCAGCTGCTGGCTCACCAAAATTAAAGTGAGTTTCCTGCTGGTCATAGAGAAAAAAGTGCAGCCAACCTCCCACACATTGATCTGTCTCCTGCTGAAGAGCCAGCACATCCCCAGGGCTGCCCAAACAGACCACCTTTAAGCCAACTGACACAAGCACTTCTTCATTGGAAATAATTAGAAGAGTATTGCCTGTGAAGAACTTTTGCTCTTGAGGAGAAAGTGTCCTTGAAAACCTCACTATCCACCTCTAGCAATGGGGAGCTTAGCATAGATCATTGCAAGCAGAGCACCTTCTCCATGCTTGCAAGTTGAGCTTGGAAGCAATCTTCTCTTCAGCCAGCAGAGAAAGCAGCTCTTGAAAATTCCACTGAACCACTGCCATCATCAAAACCATACCTGCTGCCACTCATGACATAACCAGAGCTCTCAAAGGAAGCGATCTCTTCGCTCGTCAGGCCGATCTCGCCTCTGCGGGGAATGCGTTTCCCTGCTTTCACGTACTCTGCCATGGCTGCACCTTCACCGGGCAGGAGGGCATGTCCATAGCTAAAAAACAAAAGTGGGGATTTCAATCATTTCACATAGAGAGAGCCTGAGCTAAACATCCAACTTTACTCTTCACTACTACATACAGCTGCAATTTTAAACACTTTCTTAATTCTTTCCCACATATTGGCCTGTTTCTTCCTTATGGCAACACTAGCAACAATATCTTAAATTTTATTCAGAGTTCATTCTGATGACACTACAAAGTCACAATACTGCAGATCTTTAGAATAAAGGCACTTACAATTGATTTTTCTAGAAATCAAGGCTAAAAAGCATAAACCAGAGGAGTGAGTGCAGCCTGAAAACAAACTGTGTGCTTCTTCCCGCCCCCTTCACTCTCTGGAAGAGAGTCTTAAAGGTGTAAAACTTATTATTCAGTATAAACAGAACAAGATGATTGGGGATAAAAGCATCATATAGTCAACCCAGGACACTCTTCTACCCAAATTCAGGCCAGGGGAAAGCCTAGCACCACTAGAACTTCTGTCTGTGAGTTTGGCACAGCATTTCTCCCTCTGCATGCCCTACTGTTGCAACAGCCCTTTTGAACAATAACTTTCACATTTCATTTACTTGCTTTGATCAAAGTACCACTAGAACTGGCTACTCACTTCAAAGGCCTATCATCCTGAGATGCGTGAGTTTTGGGAGCCTCTGGTCCAATCAAACTGTCAGCTTCAGTATTTTCTGCAACAATCAAATAATGAGGAATATTAATCTTGTGTCCATTGTTATTTGTTATCAGAAGGGTTACACAGGTCAGCAACACCTAACAACGAATTCACAAAAAGGACATCAAGAAGTTTCCACCCAAGTTTAAAGTCAGGTGAACCTACTTGACCTCTCTATCCAGAGATCATCCCCCTGGAGCATTTCATCATCGGAATCTTCACTACTTGAATCACTGGATTCCTTCCTGCTCTTCTTAGCTTTCTTCTTCTTATACTTCTTCCTGTGATAAAGCCAGACAGACATGCTATTTATCAAAATTAAAAATTAAAGAAGATGCTTGGAATAATACTCAAATAATTAGCTCCTCAAGGCAACTTCCACCTATAGGAAGAATGGCTGTCTGCTGTTTCATACAAAACACTTTACAGCAAAGCCAAGACAACATATATGTTCTGACTTTCATAGAGTGTTAGAAAGTGGCTCTACAGGGAGTTGTTTGTGCTGCACAATTGTGTAGATTTAAATAAAATCCATCAAATTAATATTATTTGCCTGCTCTTGCAAATGACCTAAGGTCCTCAGGCTCCCTCAGGGCCCGTGAAGAAAGCTGAGCTGCCCTCCAGCGAACAGCAGCCAGAATGACACAGCAACGAAGACACTTACTTTTTGCTCTTCTTTTTCCTCTTCTTGCTTTTCTTTTTATCTTCATCTGAAAAAAGACAGTGTATGTAATATCAAAAAGAAATTATTAGTCATAACTAAGTAGTTTACTGCCGTGAATAACATGTCATGCCTTTTACAGCCCCAGTGTTCATGGAGCTGTGGACTCTTTGACTCTCTCAACCCTAACCCTAAGTCCTAGCCCTAACCCAAACTCAACAGTATTGGTTTTCCAGGTTAGAAAGATGAAGGAACAGGAATACTGGGGCCTTGCTGGGATTGCCTTGGCATACCTTTTCCAGTCCCAGTGCTACTGGAGCCGCAGGCTCTTTTACTCTCTCAACCCTAAGCCTACTGCTAAGAATTACACTAACCACTACCCCTACCAATTAACCTAACTCCTGCCCTAACCCTGAGCCTATTCCCAGCACTAACTGCCTCCACCAGAATGCCCTAGTACACACCCTGATGGGGCTTGGTTATACTGGGAAAGCGTTAGTAGAAAGCTCCCTGCAGTACTGGTCGACATGACAATGTATCAAACAGATCTCTGGCATGGGAGGCCCAGTGGATGCTAAATTCAGAAATCCCATTTCCTGAGGCCAGACTGCAAGCTGAAACCCTCTGGTCTTACCACTGGAGTTCTGCTCAGACTCTGAGTCACTGTCGCTGTCCTCAGAATGTTTCCTGCGCTTTCTTTTGGATGCTTTACGTTTTTTCTTTTGTCTTTTCTTCTTCTTTTTCTTCTTTTCCTCTGCAACGTTTTTAAACATAACATTAGAGAACAAAGAGCATCTTGTTCCATATGTATTCCCTGATCTTCCCAAAGCAACACTCTCCTTTGAGCTGGAGCCCAGCCCAGCCACTTCTACCCACCTAAGCCAGGGAACCTCCTGCAAGCAGCAGCAGCAGATTCTAAGCCACAGTAGCTTCCCATTTTCAAAAAAGCTGTGCAAACCAAACAAAATACCTTCTGAGCTGGAATCCGAAGAACTACTCTTAGATTTTGCCTCTTCGTCTTCTACCGGTGTGTGCTCATCGGAACTGAATAAAATAACAGTTTGCTACTTAAAATCTGTTGTGTTATACTCAAGATCAAAGGTATACACATGGCCAAAGACATTCTGAGTCAATCCTTGCAAGGGAGTAAAATATTAAAGAGCTAATTTAGCCTGGGAACTGCTGTCAGAACCACAACACAACAGTCACCTGATCTACAATAAATCACACATTGCATAATTGGTATGTTGGAATGATCTGGTTGAAAAAATAGTAATCTCATTATGTTGCTTCAGAAAGGAACTGATTCAATAAGTACTGTGACACCATGACTAATGCAGGATAAAGCATTTTTATAAACTGAACTGATATGCAATTAATATAAAAAACATGAAGAAAGAATATGCCTTCTGCTACAGAAAGGAACTGATTCAATAAGTATTGTGACACCATGACTAATGCAGGGATAAAGCATTTTTATAAACTGAACTGATATGCAATTAATATAAAAAACATGAAGAAAGAATATGCCTTACTCTGGGTCAGGAACTTTTGGTGACAGCCCCCAGACCTCAGGTGCCCCCAGTTCTCCAATCCTCTCTCTCTCATTGAGTCTCCTGTAAAGGAAAACACTGTCACTGACTCCTAGTTTGCAACGCTCAGCACACAAACATTTTAAGTCCTACACGTCAGTGTTTCTAATCGCCTGAAGCAGCTAGAGTAAGGATAAGAAACAAGCTCGCAGGGGCAGTGTGGCAGCAGAGCTCCGCACAGTGCAGAGAACCGGCGGTAGCAGCTGTTACCTCCCCTTCCAGGCGAGCTCGGTCCCGTCCCCCCGGGCGGCCCTGCCCGAGGGAGCGCACGGAGAGCCCGTGAAGGGCCCGAGAGTCCGTGGCGGGGCCGCACAGAGCCAGGCCCGGCCGCCCCGCGGCACCCGCCCCTCCCGGGAGCGCCGTCCCTTCCGTGCGGAGCGGGGCCCGGCAGGGCAGGCCCGACACCCCGCCGGCGCTCACCGCTGCCGCAGGATCTCCTCCTTCTCCTTCTCGTAGTACTCGGGCCATTTGCCGTGGTGGTGGTGCCCGTGGTGCGCGGAGGAGCGCGGCGCGCCGGGGCTGCGGGACCGGCTGCGGCTCCGCCGGTGGCTCAGGCGCCTCGGGCCATTGCGCTCGCGGGACCGGGAGCGGGAGCGCGAGCGGCGGCCGCGGCGCTCGGAGCTGGCGGCGGGCGGAGAGCGGGAGCGAGACGCGGGCGCCATGGCGGAAGCGGAGGCGCTTCCGGTGCCCTCCCGGCCGGGCGGGAGCGGGGCGGGAGCGGGGCGGCCCCGCCCGCGGGGTCACCGCCCCACCCGCCCGGCCGGCAGCGCGGCGGCGGTCGCGGCGGCGGCGGCTCCTTTTGTGCCCCGCGGCGGCCGCCCGGCAGCGATGGACGCGCGCACAGCGGCGGCGGGAGGGGA